AGATTAATTCGCTCGAGGCAATAATTCTAAGTTGTAACGAACATTTGTTCTGTGCGATTGAACGACGTTGCGACCTTTCGATTTTAATATCGTTCAATTCGTAAGAATAAATTGACGTTCGTCAATGTAGAATTATTGCTTGGATTGAATTAATGATACTGAGAGATCTGTGCTCCGGCTCTGATTGGTCCTATCCATTCTTCTCGTTTTGATATCGAAGAGCCTTGTAACTTTTTTCCCCGCATCCTAATAGACGAAAGACAAGCCGATTTTTATTTAATTCACGACGATTTCATTATTTACCGAATAGTTGGATTCATGAAAAATCGTGAATTATGGCGCATTAACAAGTGACATCATCTCAAACAGCTGCGTTAATACGGACGATATCGATAAACAAGGAGTCACAACGAAACGGGGTGCAAAGTATCAATATTGGCGCAAAATTAAACGCATCGCAGGCTAGTTGATTACAGTGATAAATTCATACGCTGTTTAGTTATCAGTATTTATGCAAATTGTCGTAATTATCTCGCGCAAATTCTAGCTCGCATAATGCAAATAATAATAGTCGCGCGTTGATTTTCACGTGTTCGCTGTAAAACAATCGTTGCAAGACAATTCCCGTACTTTCAGATATTACGAAATTTATAACGAGCGTGCGATGTAACGCGAGGCAGCGAAAGAAATTTTCTCCGATTTGCCGTCGGGTCAAGGATTATTACACGATACATTACGCAACTCTAAGTTTTCATCGAGCTTTTAAGGATTCCATCGAACACGCGTACGGCCTTCCGTCAATGAAGAATCCTGTCGTTACGATATTAACGTCTCCGAGCTGTTCGAGTTATTAAAATCGCGGCGAATTTCTTTTATATGAACCGACGTTGGATTATTGTATTATATACTACCCTGGCTTCACATTATCCGGTATTATATTATCACAATTCCATCTCTCGGTGGAAGCTACGGTGAAGTTTAAATGACCGTCAATCGACGAAACGAACAGACTTGTCCAATCAGAGACGAATTAGAGAGGATCCGGAATGAATTATCTCCGTTTTCTTGCGCGAGCCGAGTCTCTATCGGCAGAATTATCTTTATTGAAACGCGCGCTGCATTTTTCACGGGAAATTCTTATCCGCAAGATACTCTCCCGCGTTAAATCCCCGTCAATTCACCCGGCAAATCAAATCCCTATTAACGAAATCGAATTTCCCCTCGCACTTGAAGGACGAAGCAATCAACAGCCTTCATTAAAACCTGCGGACTCGTCCGCAGCCTGTAAACTCGCCTCGTCGCGATATCTCGTGCATCTCAATCGAAAAAAGGGACGAAAGAGATTGAAAATCATTCATCAAGGGTGAATTTATTGTGCGACACGAGCGACATAAATTACCCGCACTCGGAAAGTGTAAATTTAATGAACGTCGAGATACAAATGCAAAGAGCGCGTCTCTTTATAGATACATCGTGAATCGCGCCGCTGCGGATTTTGGAACCGGCCAACTAACATTGCATGTGTTGCAGAAAAATCAATATTCTCGTTGCAAAGCAATTGTGCGCCGTTGTAAATCTCGTTTTCATCTCCCGTCGCCGTGTACATTCCACTTACAAACGTAACTTTTCCAACTTATTTGTGCAATTTGCCGTTCACGATTTTTCAATTGTAGCACACAAATGTTATGCGAATGTTCATATATATATATATATATATATATATATATATATATATTTATTTATTTATTTATTCTGGAATGACGACTCGAAAATTGATATTCTAATATCCGACGAGGTTATTGGCTGGACGAGAATTTGCGGTTGTATGTCAACAATCCCACCGCGATGACTGCATACTGACAATTTAAATTTAAATTCCACTTTTACTGCGAATTGAAACTCTCGCGCGAGATGAAAGTGCTAATTCATGTAACCTTGTCGCGATTAGATTAAAAGATAAAGATTTTTTTATCAAAGAGATTGGAGGAAATCGCATACTTTCGACGAAACTAAAGAGCTGCAAATTCATGACACACACACACACACATAGTTATCTTGCACAAGTGCATATAATGAGAAGCTTGAGATTATCATTATGTATATTCGGATATTTCCCTTCTTTTTTTCATCAACTTGGTAATTTATAATAAATATTAATATATCTCAAGAAAACGAACTTTTCCCCCGATAAATAATGCAAATGTGTTAATTTCTTACTAGTAACATTCAAGAAATGGTTATTAGGTGACTCGCGACTTGTTGGGTTATTAAGTTAATAACGCCCTCTTAATATTATACTGACGTATCGATATATAAGCCTTGATACGCAAGATGCAATTTTCAATACGCTCGAGGCATTTTACGGGCCGTCTTACGTCACTGTATCTGCATGTATAAGATATCTTTGAGATACGATCGTTCTCACATTATAATTTCCCGACGAGGCTTCTTTTATTCTTATTTATATAACTCAGTTATTATTTGATAAATAAAGCTTCATTGCGACACAAACGAAATTATTCAATTGTTAAGTTAATACCCCGCGACAAACGCAAACGCGCACTTTTTTCTCCCTTTGTCTCCCTCTGAAATTATTAATTGGACAGGCGAGCGAGAGAGCCAGCTAAAGCAATGTTGATTAACGCACGATAAAAAAAACCGATATTGACCAATGTTGACAAGCAGACCACTGTTATTCTACTTTACGATAATAGCGCGCCGAGTTCACCGGGAAAAAGAAGCGACGGCAGCGATTGCGATTCCTCTTCCTCCCTCCCTCCCCACCCCCCGCGATGTTGTTTCGCTCGAATTAATTCGCCAATATCTCTCTCCTGTTTTCACACAAATGAGAAATTGCGAATTACACCTTTCGCAATATCGTCGATCGATACGGGTTACCATCGCGAGATTAACATCTGAGAGAAGTCACATTCGTGTATTCCGCGAGAGAGAATTCTCTTTCATGAATATATATATATATGCGCCGTTAAGTTTACGGCCGATCGCCTCGGGGCGACTACGTCTTATTTTTAACTCTTTAAAGCAACGTCAACGGGATCGGCACGTGTTCGTTCTTACGTGAAAATCGGGGACAACGAGTCCGCGCTTAGCCGCTCGACAATCGCTATAATTAATATTGATGAAATAATGCACGAGGAGGAATGCAACAAGCGAGCCCCACACAGATATCTGCCCCTTACATTGTTGCTGTGATATATTTTTATTTATTTACGAAGAAGACAATTTTGTCAGAATAGCAAATTCGTCCGTTAATATAGTAACAGGGGAAAACATTCTCTCGGCAGAAAGATTCGTCGGCAATATTAATCGCTATTTGCTAGATAAACGGACGGCGAAATAATTTGGCTGTGCCGATGAAATTTTACCGCTATCGCAACGACATCTTGCTGCAACAGGGAAATTATTTTTTCCGCGTAACAAATGTTTCTGCCGTCGCTATGTTAACAAACGACTCGGCTGTTCCGGCAAAACCTGTTTTCTTCGTGTTTACTTCGCATCGCATTCGCCGCTTGCAATCCAATATATCGATATTACGCGTTATAAGTTTATTATAGGTATTGTGCCCCTTTGAAAAGGTTTATCGATTAAATGCGTCCCCCCTCCCCCCCCCCCCCGATGATCGAAAGCATTTTCTCGTGTATTCTCGGGGGNGGGGATGCGACGCGTAAGTGATTGATTGCTTCCGAGTAACCGTCATGTTTCAAGATACCATACCGGCATTGTAATGCGGTTTCATTGTGCGATGCGAGAAGTATCGAAATTATAAAATTTATGATTATAATATGTTACAGTAATATCGCGGCGGTATGTGTGTGTGGGCTGCAGTGAGAAACTCATTTAGGCTGTATTGTGAAATGTGCTGACATAACTGAAAATTTATAGTTACGTATACTATAGATTTTCAATGTTATCAATACTTTCATTTTCGGAGTGCAGTCTTAATTAAATCAAACAAAATTCTTTTCCGGATATAGGCGAACCAAAATATTTCGATTATAAAAAAAAGATTTCGTTCTCTCAAGCCTTTTTCACTTTCGTTTCAGAGAATCGAACTTTCTCACAACCAAAACATTTGCCCGCCCATATCTAAACGAGGAGAATTTTACTTGAGTCAACTAAATGAGCTTCTCAGTGAGCTTGATAAATGCGACTGGCACTTTCTTACTCGTCGCTTTTTTAACGCCTCTGTCAAACGAACGATGAAAATGAATTTGAATGAAAATATTTTTAACAAACGGACGAGCAGCGAGCAACAAGAAGCAAAACATAATTTTTCACTGCCGTTGACGCAAACAGAACAATAAATTACGTTATGACGAACATTTATTTTCTTAAAATATGACGTCATTAAAGTCAAATAGTCTAGACGTTTCGGTCCTATTCGTGCCATTGTCGCTAGAAATCGAGCGTACGTTGAAAGAAGCACAGGAAAATATCTCACATGATAACAATCCCTCGAAAGATCCTCAGTGTTTCTGTAATAAAACCTTAACCTGTTCTTTTTAACTGAACTGCTGAACTGGTGCGATAAGTTGAAGTGAGAAAACATGTACTTGTCTCGCTTCAACTTATTGCACTAATTCACAGCGGTGCAGCTAAAAAGAACAGGCCAATCGCCTTCGATCGTAGCGAACGTTACGCCTGTGCCAAGTGAAAATCACGCACGGGAGCGCCGTTCGATCATCTCCGAGGCATTCTCATTGCGTGATAATCGTGAAAACCTCGCGCGTTGAAAATGAATGCGCCTATTACGGCGGCCAATTATTCCGGAATTTCGACGTGAAAACGAGATACGCGCGTCTCGCCGCTGCTCGCGAGCGCTCGGGATTTGCGATTCAAAGTTCGGAGTCGGCGCGCGGGCTAACCTAACATATTAACGATCTGCCGACCCCATAAATCCAACATAGCTGGGCACTCCCGGTGGGAGCGCATCTCCACGAAGGACAGAGAGAGAGAGAGAAAAGATCTATTTTACTTACTACGAGCAGATCCCAACGTCGTGCGGTGGTCGTTGAAGACGGCACGAACGGCTCCGCATTATCGTCAGTCTGCCTCCGTCTTCTCTTTCCCCGGCTTCGCACTTCGCGAGACCGACCAGAAGAAGAGATAGAAGCCGCGAGAAGGTATCGGACCTCCGTCCTTCCTCCGTCCTACCTCGCCCCCGCGAGAGAGAGAGAGAGATTTCTGCACGCCCGGAGAATTTCGCGCGCACGGTTCTACACTTACACCCGCGGGGCACAATACGCGGTGCCCATGGCGACGTGTTGTCCTCTCTCTCTCTCTCTCCCTCTCTTTCTTTCTTTCTCGGATACACTTGTAAAACGAGTACGTACGACGGCGAATCCGAGTGACAAACCGATTACGCGGCCGAGAGTCTGAAGTTGGACGACCTCACCTTGAGGGAGAAGCAGACGCGACGCGCACACGATCGGCGAGAGGTTTTCGTCGCGACGCGGGGACCACCGCCACGCAGGGTGGTTTTGTTCCAATTTGGCGCCAAGTGCATTAAGAGCGACGAGAGAAAGAGAGAGAGAGAGAAAGAAACACTCCTCACTCTCGGACGCTCAACGCGTTACTGAAAGCCGCGGCACCGCGACTCTCCGACGCGCACGCTTCAAGATGGCCCCGCGCATGCGCGCTGCCGGGTAAAAGGCAGCGAAAACGCTGCTCTCCGTCCTCGCGCGGGCCGCGTATCGCAGGAGATTTGGTTTGAAAATAACGCTCTGTTTTGTCGTCGGCCGCACATCCGTGCGCGTCTCACGTCCGTCGTAGCGAGTCGCGCCCGATCGTCCGATATTCGCGGCGAAATAACGCGTCTCTTCGCCGGGATACATTCAAGTACAGCCGAAGGTCGCAACTTACGCACGATCGGGAAGGCTCTCGTCGGGACGTGACACGTCCGAGACACGTCCAATCCTGTTTACAGCTGTCGGCGCGCTCGTGAGCGACGGCTCGAGAGTGATTAATACGTAGACGCGCGGGGAAACGAACTTACGTAAGTCCGACGAATTTTTCCTGGAAGTCCCCACGCAGATCGCGCGTCCAACGTCACGAGGCTTCGATTCGATTTCTGTCGCCTTTAAAGAGGACATGTCACCCAACCACACAGGACCAAAGTTTCAGAGGCTCGGACAGACATTTTCTCTATTTTTCCGCGAACGAAGATGGCGGAACGATGGCGAAAGGAAGAAATTGAAAAAATGTCACCTTTCAATCTTTTCAGTTTCTCCGAGCGAAGATTGAAGGAGGCGAGTTTTTTCAACTACATCACGCACTCGCAGCTGCGATCTTTCTGCGTTCGCTGAAGCTGATGATCGATCCGGGGAGAGGAGACAGAGGGAATCCCGGGTATGCATGTGCATTACGTATTCTCGCATACTGCTGGTCGGGGCTCGGTAAAAGGTGGAAATCCATGGCGGGATGATAAAGTCATGAATACACATCGCGCCTATTGTTCTTCGGCAGATTTTCCCCGAATAGCTGCCTCTGAATGCGCCGAAGATTGATTACATTCGAGCGGATTATAACCGAGCCGAAAGATATTTACGCGCACGTAACGGATACGCTTTGAATGAAGCTCACTCGCTCCGCCAAAATTTCCCTCCATTACCGCCCTCGTATTATGATTTAAACGCGTGTCTCATTCGCGGGGCACGCTTGAATGGCAATCAAATTTATACCACGGACGCGGATACACGAAGGGGAAAACCTAAGAGGAAACGAGAATTGCCGGTTTCGTCGGGAACGATATATCTCGTGCTTGACATACTCGCGATATTATTCTTCGATCGCAATACCGCGCCGTGGGGCGCATAATCGATGTCGCACAGACGCATATTTCCTTCATCGGTCGTCGCAAAACCGTCCAGATGCGAGACGAGAAGCGTGCATTGTTTGTTATCTTTCGGCATCTCGTCCCGCTCGGGCGAAACGCATGTTTACAGCCGTATTTTTCCGCGGGCGCAGATGATAATTGCCCCGCGTGCGCGGCGGATACGAGGAAAAAGAAAAGAATACAAAACTTACCCGGCGTGACGTACACCGTTATGTTTGTCTCCTCATTACGAGGCTCGTCTTCGAAAATTGGCACCGTGCAAACGCCGGAAACGCTACGCCGATCGCCATTCTCTCATTGCTGTTTTTCGAGTCCGAAACTCGCCGCGCACAAGTCACGACACGTCGCGGCGAGTTCCCCTCCCCCCTCTCCCCTCTTGACCGTAGAATAAATTACTTCGATCAGAAATCGGCGTCGTTAATGCCGCGTCATTATGCGCTTCTGTGAACCTTTCGACCGCATATTAAATAATTCATGATACATTTAATGAAAGTCAACAAACTTGAGATGAAACTTGACCTGTTGGTGCCTCGACGTATTTCTATCTTCTCCATTTCTTTTATATAACTAAAGATTTTTGGTAATAACTCGCAGTTTGAGTATTTTTGCTTTTTCATTTTGTTTTAATCGTTATTTCTTTTTTTTTTTCATACTTTTGTATCACTTTTACATTACATTATCATATTCTTATGTTATTTCCGTAATTTGCACGGTTGCCGTAATCATCATTTGTCTTTCATCGATCAAGCTCGATAAGAAATAAACAAGCGGGCACTCGGGCGCGTAATTGCTAATTTATGCGATGAAATTCACAAGCGCGTCTACATCGCGCTCGACAGGCAACGGATAATCGATAATTTGCCCGGCTGACGAGTCGTACATTTTCGAGCGAGTTCTCGCGCACGTTCGCAAATTCGACCTATAAATCGTACAGAATGAATCATAAAGAGAATAGTTTGACGAGCGCGCCCGACGAGCATTGACGGGTGAATTGTCGGTTCATTACGCAACGCTGCTTGATTTATGTAGCCGAAATCGATAACTCACATGAATCAGTCAGCTCGCACGCCGCAGGTGCGTCGAGAGAATTCCGCAAATCAGTCACGATAACGACAAACATCTGTCGCATTCGTTATGCAATGTAAATTACTCTTCGTGCCACTTTTTCTAATTACTTCCTCCAAACTCGGGATAGGACTTTCGGTTTGAGGAAGTTTATAAAACCCTTCGTCGCGAGACGTGAAATTCTCTAATATATATGCGTATAATGGATGAATAAAATCCGAGAAGATAAAATCCGATGGAGAACCGAAGAACTGATGTTTTTGCGGATATTTAATGCAAACGTTTATGATTAATCATTATAATCGCTCATCGTAATAATTGTAAACATTTGCATTGAATATTATTCGCAAAAATATCTGTTGCTCCGGCTCTTCTTAACCCGTTATTTTTCATGCGATTCTGCCAAGCCTTTTTGAGAGCCTTTATATTTAAATTTAAGGCGGTGAAATTATAATGGGTCGGTAAAATTCCAGAACGACGCGTTGCGGGGTTTCTCCTCCTGGGAATTTGAGCGACGAGACTGATACATATTTTAATATCCCGATTAGACGGGATGTCCTCGCGGAAACTGGGATTTTTCGCCTCGGCGGAGTAACAAAATTCCTCATAAAAGCCCAATTGTCGGTATTTCCATTTGGGCCGGCCGCTACAACCTAACCTACCGCGGGTGCACTTCGGATCTTGCGCGAATGTTCTCCCATGAAACTTGCAAATCCAATTTCCCGGATTACAACTCGGGTTAGAAATCCCCGTTGCTGGGAAGCCGGACCACCGGTCGAGCTCGATTTTAACTCCGGCGAGGTGGAAACGTATTTCGTTCGGTGCTCGGGGGATCTTTGAAGCTAATATCAAGATAACACGTGCACACGCGAGGGCCACAGGTGGTGCTTTCGATGTTGCTCTCTGCTCGTCAAAACGGTACGAAATTATCGATCACTTGACGAACGGCCTTCTTTCGGCCGCGACGCGACAATTGATTATTCATAGACGGACCGGAATTATCGACAAGTTTCCGTCTCATATCTCGATTAATCTCAACTAATACGTTGAAAGGACACGGTATATACGTGATCGAGCGGGAATGCGAGATTTACCGAGTGCTAAAAATATTACAAAATCGATCACACGCCCCTCGACGAATTATCGACGACACCGACCGATGAAACTTTTCCCGACATGTCGCCGCTAAACATACGCGTGTCCAATGTCGCGTGAGTCACGCATCGACGTGTATGTATATACATAAAGTGATAACGCGAGCCCTTGTACGGGCATGCACATAGGAAAGCCAAGAATTATGTACTGTATAATTTTTCACGAACGTTTCATATTTTTCATTAATATTTCACCATAAGGTAATTCTACCGTGGAGTGTCAGATTTTCATCAGCGGTATTGAGGGGGCATAAGTTCATTATTTACTTTATTAGGAAAAAAATATGTTCCTATAACTTTTTTGTTTAACTATGTAAGTTTAACTATGTAAGTAATAAAATTTCGCTTTGAACGAAATTAAAAGAAATATACACACAATATTATAAACACGGAGGTATTACTTATTTTATATTTTTCTTATTTAAACGTTCATTTATACGTCAGTTGAGTTAATAGAGATGCATATAATTGATAATAATTTATACATGTTTAAATATATGTATATCTAAACATGTAAATATTTACACACAATAGAAAATAATATATAAATATTTAAATATGTGTATAATGAATATTACTATAAATCGAGCATCGTTCTGTCTTTGTTCAACATCTAAGGAGGAATAAAGATAGAATTAAGCTAAGTGGAACACACTATATACTTTATACCCGAAAGGAAAAACCAAAATTGCCTGGAAATCAAATTTCCTCCGAATCGAAAAAGTTTCAACTTTTCGCGATAATTGCTTATATTTGCATATTTTCGCTATGCACTGCCGTCCTTAAAGCTGCGCCGTGTATAAGTGCTCACAAAAATCACGTCCCATTTAATCGCTGGCGACGAACGAGACCAAGGTTTCCGCAGGAAATCGCAAGGCTTAGCCAGTTCTGACATTAGAGAGGCGGAGGTTAAAATCCGAGAGGATTTCCTTGACACACGAGCAGTGCCGACCGTCATTGTTCGAATCCCCCGCACTAATTTCACGATCCCTTTGATGAACGCGTTAATTATTTCACAACTCGTACAAACGCGGTTAATTTAATAAATTATTAATAATAAACTATTAATAGTAATAATAATGATAATAAAACTAAAAAGAAATTATATACTCTTATATATAATTTTTCGCAGCAAGTAGTACGATGAAAGTAACGTTCGACCGAAAGTTAATTAAAACGATTATATTCAATCTTGCTCTTATTCATAACGGTCTCTTATGTAACGAAAACTGAAAGCTGAACATTTGTTTTTAAGTTTGGTACTCGTCAAGTCACAAAGACTTTTCGTCAATCGTCGCGTTTCCGTTATCGCGATTATCCTGAGAATCTTATCTCGCGAATTCGGTTCCAATTGTTTTCTAATCTGAATAACACTTCCGGGAACTCAATCGCGGCAATTACGTTTCTTGCGTGCGTTCAGGTGCGAGGGCCACGTGTCGCACCTGCGAGATTATTTTCCCGTTTAGGCGTTAAGCAGATGCGGGAGATCGCCTCCCACGGTTAATCCGGCTACGAGAGCAAATCGACTCGCGATAGAGTTACGGAATTACAAGGCAAGGTTGTCGCCCAGCCCGTCCCCAATGAGGTTAATAGAGGACGCGGCGGGCCGAGCGATTTCCTTGACACGGCCGGCCCGCGCGCTAATCGAATTACAATTTGTAACGACGGCGAAAATCTATTTTGCTTCTCTGAGA